TGTGAAAGTCCCCAACCCTTTTGAATGGCCTTTTCCTGACAATCCTCTCCAGGCTGCGGTCATCGATGCCGCTTATGCACCTTTTTCTTCCACACTTTTCCCTTCCACATAACTTTCTATTAATGTGCTTTGATGCAGCACATTGGGAACATCCGTTTTTTGCAATTACCTTTTGAGGCTTTCCCTCCTTTTGGAGGGTGTCAATTATGGTTTTCTGCACAACTGTCAGGTCAGCAGTCTTTCCCATGATTGTGATTCCTACTGAACCAGACTGAGAGACCATTTAAAGGCTCAGGAACCCTTTGCAGGTGTTATGGCTTAATTAGCTGATTAGAGTGGGACACTTTGAGCCTAGAATATTGCACCTTATCACAATATTCTAATTTTCTGAGATTGTGGATTTGGGGTTTTCATGAGCTGTAAGCCATAATCATCACAATTATGACAAATCACTGCTTGAACTATCTTGCTTTGCATGTAATGAAGTTGCATTAGTGAAATAAATGAACTTTTGCACGATATTCTAATTATTCGAGTTACACACACACACACACACACACACACACACACACACACACACACACACAGTATTGCTGGGCAAAACACTTAGAAGGGAGAAGGTTTTTCATGGTGATGCAAGACACCATGCAAAATGTGCTCTATGAGCAAGTGTACAGGAGAGGTCCTAGCAGGTTTGGGCATTTTTAGTGACCCCCATGCTGGTGAACCTAGGCCATGTGTGCATGGTGGTGTCCTTAAGCTTAGGAGAGACATTGGCAGAATGAGCCCAAAACTGTACTGAGTCCTCAGATGCAGTGTCCTCCTGGTCTCTTCCTCCTCCTCTTTCACCGGGAGTGTAGCGTCCATGAGGAGAGAATCTGAAAGAGAATCAACAGGGGAGGTGGGGGGCCTCTGCAGCCCCTGCGTTCTGAAGCCTCCAACATGACTGAAAGCTTCCCTATAAACTCAGACATAGCAGCTGAGAGTTCTTCCCTGCCTTAACCAGAGAAGAAAGGGGGGCCTGAGGGAGTAATGGAGATCTCAGAGGAGGTGAGCGATTCTGAATTCTGACTGCAGATAGAGATCAATCCAGACAAGAGTCCTCAGGGTATATGTTGTCCCAAAGCCAATGGCAGAAAGTGAGCTGACAAGGCCCCTAGACCCACTCACCTTGTTCCCATGATCTGCCATAAAGGAGTGAGGTGGTCCCCAAATAGGGAACTCATGATAGAACACTGCAGAGTTTAAAGGGTTAAAGTCATCCTGTGCTGAAGGTAAGCTGTGCAATAACAGGGAGTAGGAGCATTGGCAAAACTAATAGGCAGTGCTCTCTAAGATGGTGTGGACAATGTGCAGGAGGAAGGCTCATGACCATGGGAGTAATAGCACCAAATTTAAAAAAAATAATTAAATGAATGAATAATTTAACGCATGGTATGTGTTCCTCAAATAACAAAATAATATTTTTTTGCAATAGTTCAGTGAGGAAAACAACAGACAACTGGGAAAAAGCCTTACCATTAGGGGATTAGATGCTAAGGAGCAAAAGGCTTGTCCCATCCTACTAGGCATATCCCTCTGCAGAGTCAGCCATTCTAAGGAGTAGCTAGCAGTCAAAGGATAAATTCAGGTAACCATAGGATTCATAAACCTTTAACTCAGACCTGGTAATCACAGAAACTACCTTGGGGGGAGGAGGACCTGTGCCACCCATTAAACTAAAGGTGCCCATACACTACTCGATTCTCGTACAAGAATCGCGGGAAATCCCGCGATCGTACGAGAATCGCGGGAAATCCCGCGATCGTACGAGAATCACGGGAAATCCCGCGATCGTACGAGAATCGAGCAGTGTGAACGAAGACGTGCGACCGTTTTTACTGTACGGTCGCACGTCTTTTGTCGAACCAGCATGCTCGAAAACCTGCCGAGAATCGTACGATTGTCGGCGGGTTTCTAGCCTGCTCGTTTGACAGCTGCGGAAAGGGCCGGTGTGCGCACGCGCACACTGCCCGTTATGCATTGCGGTCATCAGAAGCCCGCCCCTCAGCGGGGCGGGCTTTCGATGATCGCAAGTACGATCTGCCTGTCCAAGATGGGCAGATCGTACGAGCTTTTAATAAGCTTACGACCATTGCAAGCCAAAGTCTTGTGATGGTCATAAGGTGTATGGGTACCATGAGGAAAACATATTGTATGCATGTTATTTAAATACAAATTTCTCTGCATTCATGGGGGGGGCACTGGGGTATCAAAAAGCAGTCACAAACAAGGGAGTGAAATTCACTTTAAAACCTCACAGGCACAGCTGCCAGGTAGTGATAGGCCTGATTACACAAAGGCTTACAAGACCTTTTGGCAAAAGGAGGCATAGGTCATCTTGTCCATACTATAGAGCATGATGACTGTGTAAACAAATGACCAGGTGGGACAGCTGTACATCTGAGAGGCCGAAGTCAAATGTCCAGAAGCCCAAGATGTTCCTACTGCTCTATAGTGGAATAAGCAGTGACGAAAAAAAGGGAGAAACCTGAGCTGAAAACACCTAAAAGAATGTCAGACAATTCCAACATACAATAAAAGCTCCTGAGCCACAGATTATTATCCCAAAAAGAAGAATATTTGTCAAAGGGATTTTCCACAAACAGTGCAAGCACCACTTAACCTGAATCTGTCTTTTTCCAAACACTAAAAGAGGAGTGAGAACAGGTTTAGGCTTTACCTGTGAGAAGAACACATGGAAGGCAGAAGGATCAACCTATGAGGGTGGAAGAAGGAAAAGTGGGCAGCAATATAGACAATAAGCTTTCATCCATTAGAATTTCACACAAAAAGACCAATTATTGTACTAAAAATGTTCACCATCAAGTTGGATAATGACCCTTAACTGCTAGCTGATATACTGGACTGCTTTAAAACCATGGGCCTAAATCTCTTAAAAATGACACAGTCAAACCCAGATCACCATCTAACCAAGTTTCTGTGGATCCCCATCCATCCTGACAGATGTAGAGCACTTGTGCCAAAACAAACATGCAAAAAGTCATAGGTGGTTCTACCAAGTATTGACCAGGAAGAGATGGTGGTTTCTGCAGATCCTAATAGACGCCTGTTTTGTATATATACTGTCACAGGCCTGCAAGTACTTTTGAAAACAGGCTAACCTGATTTATGTGCTGTAATGAAACCTTTCCCAGCCGGGACACAATAATAAAGACCTGAAAGAGCATTAAAGGAGGTTAGGGCTTTTCCCCATAGTTCTTCTTAGGGTAACGGGAGGACACAAACTAGCATCCTCCAGTCACCCTAAGCTGCAGATCGCGGTATACTGAGACGCCGCAGTATAACGCGAGCAACAGCTCGCGGTATACTGAGACGCCGCAGCTGAAGTGGATCCCGACAATTATGTGGGCGGATCCACAATTATGGATCCGCCCAGCTGCGTGAGTTACAGCTGGCTCTGCCTATCTAGAGGCAGAGCCAGCTGTACCCGCCCCCTCCCCCGTCCGTTCCGCCAGTCAGCGCTGGAGGTTTGGAGTGGGGAGGGGGAATCCAGTCCCTCCCGTCACGGCAGAGAGCCGTGACAAGATCGAGAAGTGAGCGAACGCCGGTATGTGTTCGCTTACTTCCCAATCTACTGAGCCGACCTGTGACAGTCTCATTGTCACAGGTCGGCTAGAACTATGAGGTGAGTGAAAAGCACTCACCTCATAGTTCTCCTTTAACCCTTGTCCAATCAAAAACAAAATATCAAAAAGTTATACAAATGTCTTAGTCCCCATTGGTAAGTTTTACCCTCACTTTCTCTTTTAGCATCACAAAGTTTACTTTCACATTTCTGTGATTTTATTTTTTCACATTAAATGTTTCTAAAGCAATATTGTAAATATTTTTGATGTAGTTAAAAAAAATATTTAGCAATAAAATGTCCACCAGTGACACAAAACTCAGCATTTGGTCACTATATGCTGAGACCGCTGCAGCTGGGACGGATCCCAACAATACTGTCCATCCACCCAGCTGGCTGATTAACAGCTGGCTCTGCCTCTTTAGAGGCAGAGCTAGCAGTGTCCGCCCCCTCCCCCATCTGTCCCTCCAGTCCGCACTGGAGGATTGGAGAGGAAGGAATCCCTTCGGGGAGCTGTGACTGACAGTCACCGCTCTCTGCAGGGAGATGATCGGGATGTGAGCCTATGAGCGGTATGTTTTCGCTCACTTCTCGATCAATAGAGCCGAGGTGCGATAGTTTCAATGTCACACGTCGACTCTAACTGCGGATGAGTGTAATTTACTCACCCCATAGTTCTCCTTTAAACAACCATGAGCTCTCTATTTATAACAGTATTGTAACACGGCTTAAATGCATTAATGTCATTCTATGAGAATAGAAAGCTGCTAGGAGCTGGTGTATTAGACTTGTTTTAGAAGTGCAAGGAATGTATAACAGTTCTGACTTCACCAGTTGCAGTCTTGTAAGGTCTCGTTCACACCTAGGCGTATTGCATATGCGCGACCGTCGCGCTTTTTTTTACCGCGATTCGTCGCGCGTTTCCGAAGGCTACTTGGCTGTATCCCAATGGAAACGCGCAACAAAACGGCCCAAAGTAGTACATGTACCTTTTCAGGCGTGGGCCGTTTTGTAGCGCGTTAGGGACGGGCGGAAATACGCCAAGGTGGGAACGAGACCATTGAATACAATGGGATTTATATTTTTGAGCGTTTTGTAGAGCGTTCGTCGAGCGTAGAACGCGCTACAAAACGTTCAGGTGTGAACGAGGGCTTACCGGGAAGGGTGATGGCCTAAGAGCACGCATCTATAAAAACAATACATAATAAATCCCATAATTCTTTGTAAGTTCCCAGCAACAAAGTCTAGTCTCTACTTTTCAGTCACTCACGCTTCCATGCATGCATAGTTTTAGGTTTACAACAGGGTCACCGAGTAAAAACACATGTAAGAACAATATGAATCAATTTACTGTTTTTAATTTGACACTTACGAATGTCTTCTAAATCAAGGTCATCATATAGGAACTCATTCTCCTCAAAATCAGGTTCTTGGGAAGAGTCCACATAGTATTCTACATCATCCTTAATCTTCCTGATGGCGTCCACATTGATGGAGTCATTATCCAACATTCGCAGGATGGTTTCTAGCATTCGAATGTGATGCCTATGTTTCTCTATATGCCGCTTCAATCCCTCGATCCTGTCTTGCTTCTGCTAACACCGGTATAGAAGGTGCCATGGAAAAGAGAATGCACAATTCACAAATAAATACCCTTCTCTTAAGAAAAAAAAAAAAGGCGAAAACATTAATTACATGGTGGCTTGGACTAAAGTATATTTCACCTAGGACACTTGGCTATAACTTATTAGCCAGATTCTTATAGCTCCAAGCAATACTCCCACAACTGAATATCTGCTTTCATCAGACAGGCACTGACCTGTAACATCCCAAACTATATTTGAGAATTGCATATGCAAGATTTGCTTAGCAATGCTGTACAATGTTTGAGCTTTGCTGATTCTCTTCTCTCAGTGCAAGTCTACCTACCAGAATCCATGAGATAAAAAAAAAAGCAGTTAGCAGTTTCTGAAGGCAGGAAACGCTAACTGTGTGTCTGGTAGCCAAACACCATGCACATTTTGGTCCAGGTTTTGGGTTACATGAGGGAACATAGAAGTCCATTAAGGGACACAGCAATACTGAAACCTTTGGGTTATACGAACACCCACAGGAGGACTGGATGGAGGTTTTACAGGTGGGAAAAATAGAGCCCGACCCAGGACAGGGACAAACTGACCCACATGTTGCACAGCCCACCTCAGTGCCCACTGCACCAGCACCGCTCCCCTTAACAGGGTCCGCCATGCCCCAGCTCCACAAACCTGAACCCACCAAAGATGAAGGGGGTCCAAACAGGCTTACCACCCCCAGAGAAACGAGTTTGTTTCAAAGTGCAGCCGCTACATCCTCTGTGCTGATAAAAAGCCTGGAAAGCCGCACTGGCGATGCCACTTCAGAAGCAGAGACCCACACACAGCACATAGAGTGGCCACTGATGACAGAGGAATCAGTGGCACTCTGTCATAGAAAAAGTCCTGCCTCTCCTTTACAGATGGGACGGCTTTTGAACACTGCAGTCACTGTGCCAAATTTTAATAAATAAATATATGAACACAGCTGCTACATAAGAAGCAACATCACCTCAGAAGGCCAGGTGTGAGGAGGGAGAGGAGGCTGACTGAAAGCTCAATCAGAGAGAGAGGATGGTGGCAGCTGTTACTTCTCTGCCAGTCATACGTCACATATAAATAAATGAGAAAAGTGCTCAAATATTACTCCCCATAGACACCATTAAGTGTAGAAATCAAGGGGAGCATACTTACCTGCCAGGTGAAGTATGTCAGAGCACTATTTTCCAAACAGATGGGTACCATGTTGGTGTGGGGATATACTGTCACAAACCAGCCCTGTGGCAGGTCGGTCCTATGCATCTCCCTGTGAGATATCTCACAGGCTGCCCCAAATTTCCTCAGGGTTGTCACAGAGGACAGGGAATGAAGGAACCAAGTTCTGGAAGATGTGGAAAAATCTGAGACCATATCAGGACGTGAGGAAACATTGGGCCTCCACACCAGGGCACCCTAATGTATTATCAGAAGGGAAACTGTACAGGACAAGGCCACCAGTGCAGTAACTTAAAAACCCCATTGAATATGTTTTTTTGTTAAGTGTCATACCTGGAATGAGCGGAACACAAACACATCACATCACAAATGAAACATGCCATGGTATAAATTGTATTGGGAGCTGCAATTGGTGTATATTTTATTATCATTGGACTTTTTTTTAAAGATATTTTAAAAGAATTTTATATTTCAATAAATATTATAAAAACCTATGTGTCATTTGTGATATGACGTGTTATGTTCCGTTCATTCCGGGTATGACATCCTAAAAGCCCCATTGAGTATGTTTTTTTGTTGTATTTGTGAATATAGGGAAGTGATGTCTGATTTTCTCTGGTCGCTCAAAATCACTTTGTGCAGTAACTTGCCTAGTAGAGATGAAGGTAACCTCTAAAACAACCTTGTAAAAAGGTCAGAAAGGGGAATATTCCTGATGCTTTTAAATAATTGCAACCCCCCCCCCAAAAAAAAATACAAAATGTATAAATAATTGAAGTCACAGGAGGTAGTACAGCTACAATACCAAACTAAAACATGGACTGGAAGGCTGGCTAACTTTGGAGTAGGATCGTCTGCACCAAATCAATCCTTCAACGGTACTTATGAACAAGTAAAAAAAAAAAGGTCAAGAACCTCCCCATGGACTATGGTCAAAAGGTAAAGGCTCCTTACCTTGCACCAGGTAAAGCAAACCATCCAGCTGCAATAGCAGGTCCCACTGAAGTAGCCACCCTAGCTTCCAGCAGCATGAGAGCACCAATACAGAAAGACATCTGTCACAAAAGCATAAGGCTCCACAACCTTGTTGTTAGGACGAGTGTGCAGAAGATGGCAAAATGGTCCTCGCGCACCTATGGAGCCGATGAGGAAGAGGCACAGGGTAGGAAGAAGTAGACGTAGGAAGGAGAAATGAAAATCCTCCTCTACAGTGAGATTCAGAGATTGCAGCGAAGAGACAGCTCCAACATCCAAAGATTTGGAATGTACACCTCTGTAAGGTCTAGGCAGCGTATCCACATTGGCAGCCAAGGCCTGCGCCAACTGACATACCAACCAGAGGCTTTCCAGACATTTACAGAGTGGATGCTCCCAAGAACACAGTAGGGCTGTTACAGGGGTGAATATCTAGCCAAATGGACGATCACCCACTGAAGGCACTGTGGGCCCCCAACAAGATGAAGAAATCGACAATGCAACAGAAAACATGGGCACGAACTAAAACGCTTCCTTATATACCCAGAAGCGAGAATGTTCTCCAGGATGAACAGCAAAGACAGACCAACTAGATTCCGAGTGGACAACTCTGCCCAAAAAAGACAAAGCCCATAGGTCCAAGATGGGACAGAAGCCCGTCTTGGATAGGACACTCCAAACAGGTCGGAGAAGAAAACCTCTGAAACGATCCACAGCAGGAACTGAGGTCAGGAGTTGTTGCTATCTGTGAGGAGAGAGAGGTAGGTTGAGGTAAAAAAAACCTCCCGCACCCAATCAACAAAAATGCTGGCAAATCAAAAGTCTGCAAGGACAACAAACGTCCTTACCTGATCACCCCCCCCATCTTAAGAAGTCCCATCCAAAGGCTTGGTGAACTTGGAAGGCCAGGTACTAGGCAGACTAACATACTAACATACTAAGGGCCAGGTTTGGGCCAACTCAGACAGTTGAGCTCTGAGAAGAAAGAAAAGCACATCAGAAGTGATGTCAGTAAGGGCAGCAGACCTATGTGACATGGCAGTCATACCTCCTGGTGCCGAAGGTTGCAAGTCGCTACTTCAATTACTAGAGCATCTGGCCACAGATGCCTGCACTCAGAGAAAGCACCGGTGCACTTCCACCCTCAGACCAAATGGAAGGGGCTACAGTAAGGACAGCAGCCCATATCACATGCCAGCTGCGGTTTTCAGCACATTAAGCCACAAGCTACGGCCTCAATTACTGGAGTGCACGACCATGGATGCATGAACCTGCAGGAGGGATCAATGTACAGGGCCATGTATTTAGGCCCTATACAGGAGCCGGAGTCCCTTCACTATGTGGACCTCACAGTCCCCAGTAAGCACCTACCATTCACGAGAGAGGGAGGAACCCCATGTGCCATAAGGGACTGCCAGAGACAAAGCAGGCCTCCACTGGTTGGAGCAAGGGGGCTGCCAACTCACCTGGCGACAAAGAAACAGGTTTACCAGACCACAAGACATACATGTTCCCTGCTAAGGGTGTACAGCACCACACACACAAACACAGGGGAAACGTGTACTCATAAACCACTCCAGCCACCTAGGAGGTGTAAGGGGGAGAGGAGGTGGTGTATATATTTGTCATAGCCTGAGAAAGAGGGTACTTCCCCTGATAGGACACCTTCAGATGCTGTTTCACATGGAAACACTAACTGAGCAATGAGTCACTCTGTCATATTTGCCCCAGTGAGGAACACTCACAGGATGCCCTTAGATCCAGGATAATGCTGTTGCAGCTAAATCTGCATGTAGCTAGGGATCTGCATGCACTCCTTGGCTGAGCTGGGGGGAGAGCAATAATCTATATTATCCAGTGTGTCACCCAGCTCAGGTTTTGACTGAAGGTCTTGAAGAAAAAAAGACTAAAGCTCTGCAAAACAAAAAGGGAACTAAGATTGAAGGCAGGGAGCTCAGGTCCTTACTCATTGATATGAGGCAAAAAACTGAGCTGCCCTGGAGAAAGGCAATCAGACCATCGTCACAGGTCACTGCTAGCCTGTGATTTTGTGCCTATGTCCTACTCCTGATGGTGGTGCTACAATCCACTGGTTAGAGATTCATAATCTCCACAGTGTCCTTCAATATACAGGAGAGATAGAGCTTGTTTGTGCATTAGACTAAATACCATATTTGGTGTAAGCCAAACATTGCACATCCTTCCAACCATGAAGCATGGTGGTGTGGGGATGCTTCCCTGCAGCAAGTCCTGGAAGGCTTGTGGGGATAGACTAAATGCAGTAAATCGGAGGGAAATCCTAAAAGAAAACCTTTTTGTAATCTCCAAGAAACATGAGCAAATGGAGATCTGCCTTCCAGCAGCACAATGACACTGAGCACAGAACCCAAACTACACAAACATGACCTAAAACAACAATGTTAATGTCCAGATGTGCAAGGCTAATCGAATTAAAACACAGACTCTGGCCGGTAATAAACGGAGGATGAAATAATATTAAAATGTGCAATTATCAGCCTGTTGGCCTGACGGTTTTTACAATGTAAGTTGTAATGTTATGTGTGAAAAATTTCAATAAAATTTGAATATTTAAAAAAAACACACAGGCTCAAGGCTGAAATTACCGCTAAAGATTCATCTACTACTACCGGTAATACTGCTTTGAAGGGGATGTTTACGTCTAAGTTATTTTGTGTTTTCACTTTTACAAGAAATAGCATTCTAATGCCCTAATGCGTTTCTGCACCCAGCACTGAAATGAAGCAGACACTGCCAGGCAAGTGAGCTCTGCCCAAAAGTAGAAGTATAGACTCAGCCTAACATCATCAGGGAGAGAAAGCAGCATGGGAGTGAGTAATCAGGTGAGTAAACACTAAGGAGGGATTAAAAAAAAAACAAAACCCCGCCACTGACCAACAATGCAGTTGCTAACAGCACTGACGCTGACCATCAATGCAGGAGGAGGGGGGGAGAAAGTTTCCACTTTCACTGACTATGTGTTTCTGTGTATGCACGTGTGTTTGGGAGGGGTTACAGCACTACTACTGACCATCAAAGTGGTGTGGGGGTTAGATGACACTGGCACTGACACTCAATGAATAAAGTGGTGTTAAAAGGGGATTAACAGCCATGCTAATGACCACCAAAGTGGGAGTTATTATTGTGGTCACTGACACCAATGCTGGGGGTTATTATTGCAGTCACTGACACAAAAAGAATCAAATATAATCACATCCACTGACATCAATGCTGGTGGTTACTATTACTATCGTAACAGTACTCCGTTACTCCTACTTTCATATTACTGTGTGTTATACAGCAAATATACAGCACGGTCACAATTTCATATTCTGCTATTAAAACCAATGTATATCAGTGTTCTAGGACAATAAAATATTAAAACTTTCAAGGGTGTATACAAAAACAATACAATAAAATCTATGTATGATTTACTGTTTGTTTATTTAAAAATGTAGACTCACATCTTTGTCGCCTTTCTTTTTCCGTGTTTGTACAGATAAAGATTCCACTTCACTTTCAAACTGATCCACACCCATATTCAATGTGTCAATTGTGCTCTGTGCAAAAAAAAGAAAAAATTGGCCTTTAGATTTTATTTTTTTAATACTTTATTTAAAAGTTTTGTATATTACAAACAGGCAAAGAGAATAGATACTAGGAAAAAACGAGTAATACCAACAAAAAAGAACCACATTTCAAGACCCTGGGAACAAGCTAGTCAGCACTGGAAAGGTAGTCAAACAAAAAAGGCAAAATTTACATTGCGTCTACTTATATTTCAAAAGGAAATATCACTGTGTATTTCTTAATAGAGTTATCCTTGATTTAACAGGGTGCCCTGGGTATGCTTCAAACCTTCATTTCTTGAAGCATACCCAGGGGTTGATGTTAGAAACATGTCTTGTTAGAAGTAGAGGTGCACCGAAATGCAAATTTCAAAACCGAAATTAAAAAAAAAAAGTCAGGACAAAACCGAAAATGTTTTTATTTTACCTTTTTTATTTAAAATATTTTTTTCATTTACTTTGTATAAACTTTTTAATGTTTTCATATCTTTATCTCTTTATCTGCTGCCCCTGTTATTAATGAAAAGGAATCCTCTATGAGTGCTCCAGTTCATTAATAACATGAGAACATAGTATGTTTACTATAACCACAACTATGAATGAACAGGTGATGTAGCTCACATCCCATTAATTATTGAGGCTATAGTAAACATACCATGTCCTCAATTATGTACAAACACTCAGCAATCACTGATCGCTAAGTGTTTGCTTTGGCTCTCCTTTCTGACAGCCGTCAAAGGAGGCTGAGCAAACGGTGCAGGGAGGAGAGCTCAGCCTCCTGTGACAGCGCGGGCTGTCTCCGCCCACACACCGCTCTGCGACAGGAGGCTGGCTGTCACAGTTTCTCTCCTCCCCGCTGGGACACAGAGCAGCCCCCAGCGGGGAGGAGAGAATACACGGATGCACCGCTGTATCGGCCAGAAAATTGCACTTTCGCCATTATGCCAAAAGTGCCATTTGCGGCCGATAAATCGGTGCATCCCTAGGTAGAAGAAAAGAAAGGACCAGAGACAACATAAAGACAGAGATACACAGCCAAGCAGAGGGCAGAAAGAGAAAGCTAATTAGAAACAGGAAGGTCACTTCCAGTTCCGGCACCCATGTGAGGAGCAGCGAGGTAGCGGCGCTCCGTCCTCACCATCACTAGCGGATACAATTTTGGCTCTCAACGAATCCCTGCCACAATCACGGTACTCGTGGGCGCACAGAGCCTAGCCATAGACCGTTTTTTGTTGGCGGGGAGATCTGGATTGCGCTCCGGCATGAATGATCAGGAGGACACTCGCGGAGCAAGGGTGGACAAGATGGCGGACGCCACACACAGAGCGCGGCTGCGCAGCCCCTCTCCAACCTCCTCGGCAGTGGATCTGGACTCAAACGCAGCACATGCCCGAACTGCTGCGGCGGTAGCCAGATTACTAAGGTCCACTATCAAGTCGGCAGTAGAGGCAGCGATTCAACAAGGGCTGTCTCAAATTAGGCAAGACCTTTCCATTCAGGCTTGTTCTCTCACAGAAGCAGGGCAGTGCATATTATCCCTAGAGGATGATCTATTGGAAGCACAAGCAAAACTATCACACTATGAGTCAGTGAATCAGTCTATACATGCTAAACTGGATGACCTGGAAAATCATTCCAGACGCAACAACCTTAGAATTGTGGGTCTTCCAGAAACTTACAAACCTGCAACATTGAGTAAGTTGTGTGCTTTTACTATACCGGAGGAACTGGGCCTACCATCGCCATGCACGGTGGAATGCGGGCACAGCCAGGGACCACCCAGGGAGGAGGTTGCTGCACCCAGACCAGTGATGGTGCGATTCCTTAATTATGCTGACAGAATTGATGTTCTGCAAAAATATCACTTCCACAAACTTAATCTTAATCTAATTTAAATTATTTAATTTAACAAACAAGTTATTGAACAGGCCACTCGTGATCCACCAAACCCTAGATAATAAAGCTACAGTTAAATAATTAATACCTGGAAGTTGATATTAGCCGATTACTCTACTGAGGTGGCCAAAAAACATAAAGCCTTTAAGACATAGGGTCTCCCTCCAAGATCCCTCTGCCTTGGCGCTCGCCTCTGAAATCCGCCAAACTTCTGAAGAAAGTAGGGGGCACATCTCATACTCCTTGCAGATACCGTAAACGCTAAGCGAGACTGGGCAGTCCACTGTCCCCTCTATTATTTAACTTATCCCTGGAACCCCTGTTATTTACTTCCCGCCCAGAGGATGATGTTCTTATTAATTTCTCCAAAAGTGAGATACTGCCTCTCACAGAGTGCACAGAAGGCATGGAGCAGGGATATGTTGTTACGGGTGGCACATCGAGACATAAAACTTACCTAGGCATCAAGGTGGGAAAGACACCTTCCTCAGTGTATCACCTTAATTACAAAATAATCAGGGAACTGGAGCTATGGCAGTGCCTTTCTCTCTCACTCTTTGGAAGGATTTACCTTTTTAAAATGGTTCGACCAGCTTTACCAGAACTGTGGAAGCAGGACAAAGCCCCTTCAATGCCCAGTTTTGCATACAACTCATGGCAAATGTGGTAGCACAGATATTTTTTGTACGACTTCCTGGGGATAGAGTTATGGTGTATGAGGAAGAAAGCTGGATCCCATGGATCCCACAGAAACACAACGTCTGTGAACATCTGGGTGATGTTTCTGCCGACCAGAAAGGTTTGCGTCTGGGACATGACCAAAAAATGTGGAGTAGATTGCCCTGGTATCCACTGCAGCGCCAGCACTGATTGGGAGGACACAGAATCAGAGTGGAGCATCTGAGGGGTCCTGTGCTACCTAGTGAGTAGTTTAAATGCTGATTCCTGAAATCTCAGATTAACAGAGGATTTAAGTGTATGATATAGTATCTTGTTGACTTGAAAGAGACTAATGCCCAGGTACCGTTCCCATCAGGTGGGGAGACCAGCAAAGGGTGCATTAAAGAGATCATGTGCCTAAGAGCACTTGTCTGTTTCATCTCCCTAAGGGAGGCAATGCCTTCCAAACTGCCCTTTACCCCTTCACAACCCATGACGGGATAATCCTATCATGAATCCTCAAAGGGTTGAACAGACTTCCGGCGGTTTTTAGCCGCTGGAACTCTGTTCATACCTGTAGAGCCAGCAGCCGGCTTTACAGTAGAAGCAATTCTGGTGACACAGCTGTCACCAGATCGCTTCTACGATCTGGTAAAGTTAGGGATGCACCGATATATATCGGCCGCCAAAACATATCGGCCGAAAATTGCACTTTTGGCTAAATGCCGAAAGTGCAATTTTTCTGCTGATACAACGGCGCATCCCAGGTTTCTTTCCTCCCCGCTGGGAGCTGCTCTGTGTCCCAGCAGGGAGGAGAGAAACTGACAGCCGGCCGAGTACTGCAGGAGGAGAGCGCTGTGAGAAAGCTTGCGCTGTCACAGGAGGCTGAGCTCTTCTCCCTGCACCGCTCGCTCAGCCTCTTGTGAGAGCTGTCAGAAAGGAAAGCAAGCAAAAAAACACATTGTGATCACTGAGGGTTTGTAGATAATTGAGGACATAGTATGGTTACCATAGCCTCAATTATGAATAAATGGGAAGTGATCCACATCACCTCCTGTTCATTCATAGTTGTAGTTATAGTAAACACACAATTTTCTCAAGTTATGAATGAACAGTAACACTCAGAGGATTCCTGTTCATATCAATGAACAGGAATCCTCTGAACAGGGAATTGTGTGTTTACTATAACTATGAATGAACAGAAGGTGATGTGGATCACTTCCCATTTATTCATAATTGAGGCTATGGTTATCAAACAGGGGCTTGAGAAAAAGGGATTGAGGACTCTGTGTCCCTCAATCTCTTTTTCTATTTTAAAAGGTAAATATCAGGGGTCTGTTTAGACCCCTAATATTTCCCAATAGCCCCTAAAAGTAGAGTAACAAATATTTAATAAAAAATGAATAAAAATAATTAAAAAGTTTATAAAAAATAAATAAAAATAAAATATATTTTAAAAATTTGAAAAAATGTAAATAAAAAACAAGTGACC